AGGCCGAGGGCACCCCACCCCCGCACATGTTTCATAACGCTATGCCAGCTGTGTCATCTATCAGTGAGCGCAGCATTTCAAAGTAGGAGGCGAGGTGAGGTGAGGTGAAAACAGAGAGGAGGAGGTGGTGGAAGAGGAGGAGGAGGAAAGAGCTGAACCTTGCTGTCGGGTAATATCGCTGCAGCACGGAGATGCTTTATGTAAGCTGCAGGGTGAAATCTGGAAAAAAGCAAAGAAAAAGGAGGTCAGTGATGTATCTCCTTGCAAAAGAGGGACCGCGAGGCTCCTTGGAGGAGAACCAGGCTACACAAGGCAGTTGCAGGCACACGATTATGAAGCTCTAAAGGAAAAAAACAGTATATGACCTCACAATGCAGTGATTCATCACAATTAAACAAATGTAAACCGTGCTCAAGCCTAGCACCCAGTCTGTCAGAGGTGCCTGTTGTCTGCAATCTCCCACAGTTTAAATCTCTCAGCTGAATAGTGGAATAATAACCCCAGCACACACCTACAGTAAATCGTGAAATGCATACAGTGTCTGCCGTATAATTCATTCCTGTTCAGTTCCCACTCAGTGATTTAGAGCGATCGCTTTAGCAGCGCAACCCTTTCAGGGCAAATTTCTCGCCCACGCCTATTCACAGCAAGTAAATCCATCAAACGCATTTATCATGTGAAGCTTGATATTGCGAGTGGGATGTCCGACACAACGGCCGGATTGGACGTACAAGACATGAAGTTTATTTATTTGAATTTAATTGATGTCTGTTTCTGTTTTCAATATCATGTGTTATAAACAGGCCGAAACTCAACTTGAGCACAGTTGTGTTTCTTGGTTGCGTGTATTTTTATGACTGTTGTGTAGAGAAAAGGAGCTTTGATGGAAGCGTTCTGGCAGCAGGCAGTCACACTTCAGCTGAGAGAGGCTAAGGCAGAGACCTCATCAAAAGATCACGCTGCTTCCCGTGGACCCACCAGGGATGTGCTCCACTGTCACCACAGGGTCAGAGAGGAGTTGACCCTGGACTCTATTAACCAGCAGCAGATGAGCGAGTGCAGGAAGACGCTGCAGGAGCACAGGAAGTGTCTCAGTGCAAAGGAACATGCTTGCAGAGAGAGGGTTCTTCTTGGCAAGAAGGGGGTCTCTGCTTTGTTTTTGGAGCCTCTGCAACAACTCTACTGCCTTCCTGTTTTCTCTCCTGCAGCAGATCTCATTGGTTTAATGGTGAAGACTTGTTTCTTTCATTTTGTATCACATCCGTCCATCCATCTTTTTGCACTTATCTCAGGTCAGGCTTTGGGGCAGCAGTCTAATCAGAGAAGCTCAGACCTCTCTCTTCCCAGCTACCTCCTCTGGCTTATCCAGGGGAACGCCGAGGTGTTGCCGGGCCAGGCTGAGAGATATAATCTGTTTAGAGTGGCCTTCTCCCGGTAGGACATCCCTGGAACACCTCACCCAGAAGACACCCAAGAGGGATCCCTGAGTCCCCTGAGCTGAACCACCTCAGCTGGTTTCTTTTTGATGTCTAGGAGTAGTGCAGATGATCCAAACTGAAGCTGATTTTACTGAATACAAAACAATTAACTTGTTAATGAAAATAAAACAAATGGAAATAAAACAAATAGGAAATGAATTTCACTGATCTCAGAAGCCAGTAGAGGTCAGCTCTTCTCAGCAGCCCCCACCACTCACAGATGCCAGTCTGAATCAAGCAGATGCACATTAAAGGCTCTGTATAATGTCAGAAGCCATTTAACACTGTCAATTCAGACTGCTAAAGACGTATTAAATTTAAGACAAATACACGACCCAATCTTAAAAACACATTTGATTTGATGGTAAACCACTTTGGTTCGATTTATGCCTTCAAAACTGATTGCACCACAGGACATTTCTGAATCTCGTTTGCCTGGATGCACGTCTGCCTACCATCACAATATTATTAAGCAGCGATCAGGCTTTAAATTACTGTTCCCACTGACCATGACATGCAAAGCCTAACGGAGAGTCCACCAGGCTTTTCTGGCATCCACAGGACATTACATTCATATTACTGATCTTATCGGAGTTCCCACCATTGTTGCTTTCCTTTGGTCTGTGCCTTTCATTTCCCTCCCAGTCACAAGACTGATCCAGAGTTATTATTACCGAACTCAGGAGGAAATTAATAAATCTCTGGGAAGGAGAGAATTCTAGACAGTGTAGGTTTAATATAATACATGCATTAAACAAATACATGCAAATACATAGAACAGACTGTACGACAGCGACCACGAAAACTGAAATTGCATTTCTTTCCACTTGCAGTAAGTTGCCTGAAAATGAAAGGAAAATGTGTAGCACAATTGGTTGTGACTGAAATGTAATTTAATAAATGTGTAGTTTATTAAATAAATTCCCATCCAAAGAATGATGCGATTTTAAAGTGAACTTTCGCACTGGAAGAAAAAAAATGACTTAGTTAAATGAAACTATAAACTAACATTTCCTTCTCGTACATGCATATTGCCTCATATCAACAAACTAGCGATCCCAGTTGAACAAGACCCTGTGCAGAGCGGGCTGTTGACAGATGCTGAGAGGGGAGCTGTGATTGGCTCGTCGCGGTGGGTGTTTCCGCATTCCGCTAAGCGCAGTCAGCTGGAGCTCGAGTTGAAGAGGGCGCCGTTTATCTGTGAGGACACCTCTTTCAGTCACTCCTGGGGGAATACCGGAGCGAAGCCAGCGAGCGGGATGCCGTACATGTTCGTCAGCACACAGATTCGACTGGTGTGTATCTTGCATACGTAAACGACTCCCATCATGCTGTCGGGGGAGGCGCGTTTGAGTCGCAGATGTGTTTATTTGACTGCAAAACAGTGCGCACACTAGCCTACTGATCAGCCAAGGTTGGTTATGCAGTGGCCGGTAATATTCGGCACGCTGGGGAGGGGGGGGGAGTTAAGGTTACAAAAAAAAGCGAGAAGCGTGCGTGGGACCTTTTTGTATGTGTGTGTGCTACGTCAATTAAAAACACATGTTGCTCAGTTGTCGGCCTCTTGTTTGCGCATGTTCATTTTGTTGTCTCCACGACTCCAGCAGCCTAATTCCTCCAGTACTCTGTGAGTATATTGGATCATCTATTTTTAGCTTGTTCAGATATTGGAGATTATCATGTGCACCTGCCAGAGGGCTGCAGGTGCAATCAGTGAGAGCTGTACAGACAATTTGTTTTAGTGATGCTGCCCCCCCCAAATAATTCTAGAGTAAATTCTAAGCTGTGTGGGTAATACACTTAATGCTGCCTTGCAGGAGAACGGTCCGACAAATGTGGGGGATGAATTTTCGGATCCAGTGGTCATGAATTACCTGGGAGCGTTGAAAACGACTATGCTGGGGAACAATTTGTGAGTATCACTGTGTTTGACCTCTCAGAGCTACCATGTGAAACACCTAAGAATAAATGGTTAAGTTTTGTAAGCGTATCTCAGCTCAAGCTTTTAAGCACCATGAGGCTGATGTCTCTTACAAAGATTGACAGGATTTTGCTCCTGATTCAATAGTTTTTGTGAAACAACTTTTATCAGTGATTGTAAATGGGTAAGATTTAACCATTGCCTCCATTCTGATCTTTAGCTGCACACAAACGTGCAGACTTTATTTCCAAGTGTACTGTAAATTTGCTCACGGTGGGCAGCATCTCCATATTTAGGCACTTAAAACTGATGCTTTGTACATTTTGGCAGTTAACGTGTACATGTTGACGGCAGAGCTGAAATCGGGTCGTATAGAAGAAAAGGCTTCAGTGTGGAGTAAACCGTTCAAGGTGATGGAATACAGATCAGGGAGGTGTTGCCATTGGCAATCTGATTCAAATGAAACAAGGTGTGGAAGGAAGTGAACAAGCACTAGAACAATTAACAGCACTCTATTTTCCAAGAGAAGTTTACTGAGAGATGCAGAAATCCCCACATCTGTGGAAAGCAGAATTGCTTTGTTTATGCTTGTTTCAGTTCCGAGTATCACGTGGATGACCCGCCTCGCCTGGTGCTGGACAAGCTGGAGAAGATTGGCTTCCGTGTGGTGTCCATGACAGGTGTGGGACAGACACTGGTGTGGTGTCTTCACAAGGAGATGGAGTGATGGATCACAAAGATACTGTACTGGGAGGGCGGGTACTTGTATAAGCCTTTAAAGGGGTAAATGAATTCTGCAGAATATCCCTGTTTCTACTCTATACATTCTACATTCAAGATATTGGCAGCTATAAAGTAACGCCATAGTCAAACAAAAGTAAAGTTGAGATTATCCCTTACATAAGGTCTCAGATTAGATGATAGGTCACCAGATTCAGGGGATTACTGAAACTACAGGGGTTTGCCTTTGTCAATACTGTTTAGCACTGGTGATACAGTGTAGTGACCAGAGTAGATTTATCCTGAACCAAGCCTCACTTTTTTTCTAATTAAAACACTAGAAACATTTGTACATGCATCGCTGTGTAAAGACAATTTTTTTTTAAAACGTGTTTCTAACTTAATGATGTCATTATGTGGATTGTGTACTTATTATTAAAAGTAATCAGTTTAAACAGAATTGAACATAATGTGTAATCGTCTGAAAATCTGTAAAACAGATGCATACAGGACATCAAAAATAAAACACGATAAACATTATTGTTACTTGTCGTGGGCTGTTACAGCTCTGTGGGGCATTACAGGGTCTCTACACGTTTGAAGATGAGACTCTAGTGTCGCAGGAACACTGAGAGCAGAAGTCTGGCTGCGAGAGCCAAAACACTCTGGGTGGTTTCATTACAGCCTCGGGTCTGCCAACAAATGTCTGGGGCCAGCCCGGATCGCTAGCCCGCAAACCAGAAACGCTGCCAACTAGCTCACAGCCAAACTCTTACCAGACCTGCTGCCTCACACATGACTTAGCATCTACCTCCCTGCTAAAGATCAAAAGGAGACGGTGCTTCCCAGTTCTGTTACCACAGACATTCCAGATACTGTTTGGGTACACCACAGTGACTGCTTCGACACAGACAATGTGAGGAAAATGGGAAGCAACGAGATACCGTGAGGATTCCGTGCCGCTGCCATAATTGGTGATATGACTGAGCAACAAGCTCATCCATCCTGGTTTGCATGCAGCACAAGCCACTGTGGGCTTGGGGCAGAGTTGGTGGCGAATGCATTTCCTGTGACTGTATTTCCTTGTGTCATTTGGACAGAGTTTGTGTGTTCCCCTTGTTTGTTTTTTTCTTTTGTTCACATTGCTGGGATATTGAAAGCAGCTATGCATAAACAAAACCATGTGATGAGGGGATTTTGCTGGAGGAGAGGTGCAGATGTCTCCCAACACACCACTGCTTGTGCTCCACAGCTGGACATTGTGTAACAGCCACGGTGAGGCGGTGCAGGAGTGGCGGGGAGATGGATGGCTAGATTGGATGTTTCGAAGCTGCACTGTGGCTCCTAAATAACACAATGACAGGAGAAAGCACCGCCACACAGGCCTGCAAATGCAGACACGCGATTATGCAATAGTTTTCCCCCCAAAGGGAACAGGGAAAAAAACAGACTGTTCGAACCTTGTTACAAAACCCAGGGGTGACCACAGTAGTCTGGCACAGTAAGGCTTGCCTTTATGTGGGTCACAGAGAGGTAGCACGTCACTTCAGAGAACTTAAATGAGCAATACAGAATCTTCTGGATACGTATTACATAAGCCTATTGCGCAACAGTTTGCTTGTAGAACAACAAAATCAGAAGTGTGAGAATTTGTTTTTGAGGCCACTGTCAGAAAAAGAACACCAAATTTCTAGCTTTAATTTACGCTGGTTAATGAGTTATGACGCGATCCATGAAAGCCAAGGGTGGAGTGGGGCGAGTGAAATAGAAATGCTGTGTTTGGTTGCACTGAAACAAGCTCAGCTCTTCATCAAGAGGGTGGGCTTTAAATTAATGATTAAAACAATGGTGCATTGGTTTTGAAAAAAAAAAGCAAAACTTCATCAACAGTTGGATGATAGGAAGACTGATAAATCTTGTGTCTGTGGGTTCAGGCCTAAGCCAGAGCCAAATTGGAGGGGGGGTTATGCGTCGGACTGTTTCTTGGCTCAGACCAGTAACTTCCCAGAGTCTCCACTGGTTACCTCACAATGACGGCATGACTCCAGAAAGTCATCTGCCAAGAAATAGTTCAGCACCTAACAGCCTGTCAGAGTGTTGCTTTTATTTTTTTTTACAATTAGACTTACCCACAATAAAGATGTGTTAATTAGTGGGCTTTAAAGCAGCTAGGAATGTAAGCAGGTGTTAAAGTGGGATTTGGCAGGTGGGGGAACCCTAAGACTGGGTGTAGCCGTGTAACGTGGTGAAAAGAACTACTTAGAAATAAGTCACATAAGCTGTTTTGTGGCTTCCAGTGATATTTTCTGTACAGACTGGGATGATCCGACATTTTGCTGCTACTAGGATATTCACTGCTTTTTGTGGATTTAGCCAAACGAATTCATGAAAATATACTCGGATGTTTCATGATCTATATGGCTGATTTCCACCCCATAGACACAATAAAGCTAGTATGAAAGATAGACTTCAGAAAGTAAATATAAATTCGTCGATCAAAATAAATTGATGTCTGCAATCGCTGATGCAACCAAGTAACAGTAACCGAGATGTAACCAGTACAACTTCGTGCATCACTGCAAACTAACAGTTCAGCTTGCACTAAACTGCCCGGTGTTTTCATGCAGCCTTTGAATAACACAAAATTTAGTGCGCTATAGTTAGTTTTGCAAGATGTTTCATGAAAACATAATTTAGCGAAAAACGTGATGTAGAAAGCCGATATCTGATTTTAAAAAGTGTAAAGCGTATCAGGACATCACATTTAAATATTAAATTTCAAGTTTATCAAATGTCACTTGCTGAGCAGTGCTCACCTTTGGGGAAAAAAGTTTAAAAAAATTAACTTATTCAACAATAATAGCCATTAACTTGCCAATCAGATTTAATTAATTACGTTAAAGCCTGAGTATTGTTATATAAATAGTAATAAAATGTTATCTGCTGTGCCAACATGTTGCTATGTAGCTATGACTAATTTGAAGGGTTTTTGGACTTATTCAGTGTTTTGTAACAAAAAGGTTACAGTAGACAAAAAATATAATTTTGTGTTATTATACATTTAGTAACCTTCTCACTGCTCACATTTATCTTTATCTGAGGGTCTTCTCGACAGTGACAGTGAAAGTACTTCACGCAATTCACCTCAGCCAAAGTCACTAATATATTAAGGCATTTTCTTTTATGTTGTATATGTACTGCGGAGCAGAGCTGTCAAACTCATTTTACATTGTGGACCACACACAACCCACTTTGATATGAAGGGCCAGACCAGTTCAGTTTTATTTATATAGCACTGTGATGGCAAGCCACACAGGGCGAGCTCCACACCTCAACACTCGTTGCTTCACTTTAGTTAACTTTGCAGTCGCTACTTTAAATATATTCTACTTATTGTCCAATATATTGTTTCTTCTCTTTTCCGTCACACCTTCCAATGTTTATATGGCATGCACACATATTAACACTGCAATATCAAAGTTCTGTTTTATGTTATATTAATATATCTTTCTTTCTTTGAGTTTGGTTTCTCCTTCCTGGTTGGCAAAAGGTGTGGCAAAGGGCTGGAAGAGCTGAAGTACTGCTGACAGCCTAATTGGACAAAACCACATGCTTCATTGCCTGGGGGTTGTTTCAAGTTTGTTTAATTGTTTTGTATTAGTTGGTTATACTCGCCCTATGACAGCTGGGATAGGCTCCAGCGCCCCCGCGACCCTGAAAAGGATAAGCGGAAATGGTAAATGGTAAATGGCCTATATTTGTATAGCGCTTTTACTAGTCCCGCCTAGGGATCCCAAAGCGCTTTACACGTCCAGTCATTCACACACTGGTGGAGGCAAGCTACAGTTGTAGCCACAGCTGCCCTGGGGCAGACTGACAGAAG